TCAACTCCGAGAGAACTGCATTTTATAAATCACTATTAATTTGCTTTAAGTCTGGTGTGTAATGCTATAAATACCAAGATGAGAATGATTTAGGAGATCACTTCTAATTCCCACTGATTCCTGAGTTGCTAGCCGACACTTCTTTTCTAGAAGCTGTTGAAGAATTACAGCCGCACCGTGCCAGCGAAGTGATGGCTGACTGTGATTTGTGAGGGTGTCAGTTCGAATTCAAGCTGCATCAAAACTTAACTCTTGTGGAAGAAAATAGTTTCAGGTGTTGATAGTGGGAAAACATTTCTGGATTTTAAAATTACGGGTGATCTTTTTAATCTTTGTTTATATTTTAAGGGATTGGCATGTTTTCAGGAGTGTCACTCACACCCTGGCTTTACATTCTTTTCAGATGTTTCACTAGGTTCAGAGTCCTTTCTTAGCTGGTAAATTTGTCTGTGGCTAGGACCGTAGACAGTCGAGGGGATTCTTAGGAGGCATTTCTGAGCATCTTCATGCTGTGTCTAGGGCGAGGTGATAAAGGTAACTAAACTCAGTTAGACTGGCAGAGTCAAACCCTGGGGAGAAACTGTCATATGTAGTGTCAGAATATGCTGTGCTAGCCACAGACCTTTGTGTTGTTTTTGTTTTGTTTGCTAAGGATCTAGTGCCATTGAATCTCACATTAGGTACCACCCAAAGCGATGTTCTCTCAGAAAATTTAAACCTTGACTGCCCTCTAGTATATTTAGATGTCAGCATCAAACTCTGAAGGACAACTGGAAGTATCTGCCCCAGGGCTTTGTACACAGCCTTTCCAAGTCTGCCACTGTCAAATGGCCAGTGTTTTCCAAGGAAGGAAGTGAAGGAAGACTTGGCATCTGGAAATGGGAACTGCAAAGAACCAGCACCACTTATCCACTCACTTCAAGGGCAGGAAGCAACTGTGGCAGAACCGGGAAACCTGGCCAGAGAAACACGGTGGTGGCTCGCCTGAGTCCTAAACGCAGATCCTCAGCCTGTCTCTATTAGATCAATATTCTTCAGATATTGCCTTTAATTTCTTACAACTTTATTGAGATGTGACTCCCATTCTGTGCAGCTGACCTATTTAAAAGCATACAATTTAGTGACTTTTGGCTCCAGGAATTGATGGAATACCACCTTGTTTAAAAGCGAAGAGTAGACCCGAGTTAGCGCAAAAAAAAAAAAAGCGAAGAGTACCAGAGGAATGTCTGTCTTTGTCTTATTAACTATGCAAAGGCATCTTTGTCTGTATTGATCAAAACAAATTGCAGCTAACCTTGAGAGGATTGGGAATCCCAGAATACCTGATTGTGCTCATAAGAAACCTAATACTTGGACCAGGAAGCAGTCATCAGAACAGAGCCAGGAAACACTGCATGGTTCAAAATCAGGAAAGAAGTGCATCAGGAAGGGATGTGTCCTGTCTCCATTCCTTTTCAATCTATATGCAGAACAGATCATTCAGGAGGCTGGACTTTATGAGGAGGAATATGGCATCAGGATTGGAAGAAGACTCATCAACAACCTGCGTATGTAGATGATACAACCTTGATCGCACAAATGGAGGAGGACCTGAGGCATTTGCTGCAGGTCAAGGGCTGCAGTCTTCAATATGCATTGAAGCTCAATGTCAGGAAGGCAAAGATTCTCACCACTGGGCCAAATGGCAGCACCATGATGGATGGAGAAGAGATTGAAGTTGTTAACAATTACAGCTTGAGTGGCTCCACAGTCTTGCATGCGGCCTGCTCCTTTTGGCACCAGCGGTCAAAATATCAAAAGATTAATTGCTCTGGGGAAGGCTGCTCTCAGGACCTCTCAAAAGTGCTGAAAAGCAATGATGTCAGTCTGGGGACTTAGGTACTCCTGATTCAGGCCATGGTCTTTGCAACTACTTGCTGTGTGTCAGAGAGCCAGACAATAACCAAAGATGACAGAAGAATTCATGCCTTTAAGGTGTGGTGCTGGAGAAGGGTATTGACTATACCGTGGACTGCCAAAAAAACAAACAGGTTATCCTTGAGAAGGTGAAACCAGGCTTCCCCTTGGAGGCAAGGAGTTTGAAGCTCTGTCTCACATACTTTGGACATGTAGCCAGGAGGAACCAGTCCCTGGAGAAGGACATCATGCTTGGCAGGGTGGAGCGACAGTACAGGAGAGGAAGACCCTGGGTAAGACAGATTGACACAATGACTGTGATAATGGGGGGGTAGGTGTGTCGGAGACTGTGAGACCGGGTCAGGATAGACCAGAGTTCAGAGCTATTGTACATAAGGTCTCTATGAGTCACAGGCAACTCGATGACAATATACCACCACCACCATATTCCTAGGGTTGTGCAACCATGACCACAGACAACTTGGAACATTTTGGAAACCCCACTGTCTCCCCAGTCCTCAGCACGAATGTATTTTTGACTCTTTGTTGTTGTTGTTGTTGTGTGCTGGCCCGTCGGCACTGACACATAGCTGACAGTGGGTTTTCAGAGGCAGTAAATCGCACAGGAGGAGAGAGCCCTGATTTTTCTCCTGGGGAGCAGCTGGATGGTTCAGAGCACGTGACTTTGGGTTGGCAGCTGAACTCCTTACCTCTCGGCCATCAGAGCTCCCTGTGACCATGCTATTGTTGTCATTGTTGCCAGGTGCTGTGCAGTTGAGTACAGCTCCCAGATACCCCACGAACAATGGAATCGAAGTCTTGCCCTCTCTTGAGCCGTCCTCATCATCTCTGATACACTGGGGTCCGTTGTTAACTGTTACGTTGTGTCATCGCTCTTGTTGAAGGTCTTCCTCTGTTTTACTGACCCTCTGCCTTTCCAAGTATGATGTCTTTTTCCATGAATGGGCCCCTCTAGTTGAGGTAATATGGTATCTCCTTTCATTTTTTCCCCTCATTGTAATTTTAATTAACATTGCTCCTTTGAAGATAGCGGTTCTCAGGGAGCTTCTGTAGTCACTCATTGCATTTCTGTGATGAGATCTTCCCTCTGGCCAGGCTCCCACCACAGTCCCATCCTCATCTTAGCATCCCTTCCGCTAACTGCACTGGGGGCAGCCATCCTGTGTGCTAACCTCATCTCCTGATTATCTCCCCTCCTTCGTTTCTGAAGACCAGAATGCCTCCTGCCTGCCTAACTGTTCATCTTGGAAGTGCGTTTAGATTACAAAAGTGAGATGGGGAGTTAGGATTCCCCGAGCACAATTAGGACAGTATGAGCAGAGTCTGCTAAGGCCGGGGCCTGAGAGAACGTGCAAAGGGCTGCAAGTGGAGTTAGAGGAGTTCGTGGCACCGGGTCGCCTGCAGGTCCTCGTGGCGCCTGGTAAAAGGGCAGCCTGGCTGTGTGCTCAGCAGAGCCATTGCAGGAGTTCCTAGTTTTCATTCTGAACATGAGAGGTTTATTTTTACCCCCTCTGCTCTTTCCCAAGCAGATTAAGTAATGTACCTTTCAGCCTGATTGAAAGTGGAGTTTTTTTCTTTCTTATATCTGTATAAGAAACTCACTTAGCATACTAATTTAAAATAAGGCATCATCCATCTTTAACATTTTTTATTTCTTTTTCTTTTTTCCTTCGTTCTTCTTAAAGTTCTCAGAGTTCCTAAGCAAGGGGAGCGCTTTGTGCTGTGCAGCTCCCGGAAGCCTCTGCCCTGGCGTTAATCTGCGTCGCTATCGGGGTTCTTCCCCCCACTTCACCTCCTTAAGTCTTCTTGTGAGTCAAATGGCATTTGTCACTTCAGGGGTATCGGGTTGTATGCTCCCCCAGAGCACTGTGTAAGCATCCTATACCCACCTTGTTCCCACTGTTCGGTGTGTCAGGCAGGGTGGCACGCCATCTCCACCCAGGTGCACCCAGGAGACCAACGTCCCTTATCGAGGCGGGACCTTTGGCTCAGTGATGAGCCGTGTCTGAACAAGACCTGTCCTCCGCACCTCCTTTTCCACAATTTGAAATCACTTGTCACCTGTATTTAATCACCTGCAGAAAGTGGACCCTGGAATGATTATTCTCCCTCTACTGTAAATTCTCCTGTAGCCCTGGAGGGCAGTGGGCCGGGAATCGAAGCAGGTGTTGTCTCAGAGCCCTTGGGCAACACAGAAGAGCATTTCTAATATTCTCAATTACAGGTGTGCAGGTGCGAGGGGACACAGCAATGAGGTCTTCCCATGTGAGTGGACTTTATATTAAAGTCCTTTCAGTGGACTCATCTCAATGCTTAAGAAGCTGTTCCTCCCCTCACCAGTAGGTGGCAATGTAGTTGTATTGGTCTCACGTGCCCTTTTCTTTTTTTAGAAACTGCTTTGAGTTAAAGTTTATAGAATAAACAGTGCAGTCAAGGAGTCATCTGTGTATTGTTTTATGGCTTTTGTGAAACTATGCACTGTGCATCGTCACTCCTTCCCGTGTCTCCCTGGGTTTTGTTTCCATTCCTGCCTGCATCCCCTCACCTCCTACCTCAGGCGAATGCTGCTCTTGGGGTTCTGCGTGGGTGAGCAAGAGTGCTGAGTGTCTCCTGCTGTTGTTTGCTTTAGAGATCTCTTGTTCAGCCGAGATCCTGCCACTGGGGTGAGTTCGGTTCAGCTCCAGACCGAGAGGACAGCTAAGGGCTGGGGTCCCACCCCTGGGTCCCACCCCTTTCCATCAGGCCAGCAAACCTGGCCGTTGACATGATGTACATCTTGTTCTGCATTTCTCTCCAGGACCTTCGAGCAGTTAGCAGGGTTGCCGGGCACCATCCGGTTCCTCTGATTTCAGGGTGGTGGAAGTTGAAGGTCATGAGGTCCACTGGTGCCGTGGGCGATTGCTTCCGTGTGCTTTTCATTTTCTGAACTCTTCCTTGCTCCAGACAGGGACCATGGCTGCACCTTACATGGCCACTTGGAAGCTTTTTAAGTCCCCAGTCACTTCTCGTCTGGTGTCCCTTCCAGCCAGGCCATTTCTGTGCCCTGGACACTATCCTTTCATCCTCTTTGTTCATCTTTCCAGGTCTCTGCGCCCTCTCCATCAACCATTCCAATTCCTACTTGGCCTATCCCGGGAGCCTCACCACAGGGGAGATTGTGCTCTATGATGGAAATTCCCTGGTGAGTGGACGGTGGTCACAGTACCTCCCCACATGCCTGCCTCCTTGGCTATGTGGCCAGTGGGATGGAGGAGGAGGTGGCAGGGTGGGAGTGGCAGAAATGACTGTGGATGAAGGGGGTTTCGCTGGGACTTGCTGTAAGTGAGCACTGGGGCGAGGCAGCGGGCTTGGCTAAGCCATGCCTCGTACAGAGCTGAGCGCTGGGTGATGACAGACTGTCCTGCTGCCCAGGCCACGTGGTGGCTTCTATCTTCCTGCCTCTGGTTTCCTCAGGGTGGGCAGCACCACTGTGGGAAGGTCTTGCCTGCATTCCAGAGGGCAAGAAGCAGGGGGCAGCCAGAGTGGCCCTTGAAGCAAACTGAGGACACTGGCGTGTGCCCCATATCTGTATGCAGGGGGCTCGGTGGGAGGAGGCAGAGATGAATGCCCTGTCAGGGAGGGAGAGTGTGTCCCCAGAGAAGAGAACAGCCACAGCGCCCATGTCCCTCTCTCCTGACAGAAAACTGTCTGCACCATTGCCGCCCACGAGGGGATGCTGGCCGCCATCACCTTCAATTCCTCGGGCTCCAAGCTGGCCAGCGCGTCGGAAAAGGTGCGTCCACATGCTGCCCCTGGGGACTGCAGAGGCGGCTCTGTGGTACCCAGACCCCCACGGGATGAGGCTACAGGTTAGGGGAGCACTGGGTCTCTCCATGCATCAGGGCTCATCTCCTGTGCTGGTCATGGTATACAGACCAGTAACTGAGTAGACAGGCCTGGGGTCTGCACTACATGGGAACAAGGCACAAACACGAGCTCAGGCTAACCACGGCGTCGGGGTCACCCTCCATGCGTGTGTGTGCCGTGTTCCAGGGCGCTGTATAGACAGCAAGCTCCACCAGTGAGCAGAAGGTTTCATGTCTGTGGATGGAATGAGCAGAGTGTGGCTGAGGTGAAAAGGTGAAATTCACACCCTGGGGCAGCAGGTGACAGGCTGAGATGGGATGTCCACGGGGGCGGGGATGGGGGTGGGGGTGGGTAGAGCTGTTTGACAAAGCACACCTGGCCTGCCTATGGGCTGACGTGGGGAGGAAGAAGGGAGACAGCATTTAAAACACACTCCTGGAACCCTTATTCACTGTTGGTGGGAGTGTAAAATGGTACAACCACTGTGGAAGGCGGTATGGCGCTTTCTCAAAAAGTTGCAAATAGAAATACCATTTGACCCAGCAATTCCACTACTGGGAATATATCCTAAAGGAACCATAACTGCCACCCAAACAGATACATGTACACCTATGTTTATTTCGGCTTTGTTCACAATAGCAAAGAGCTGGAAACAACTCAAGTGCCCACCAACAAACGAATGGATAGAGAAGCTGTGGTATATTCACACAATGGGATACTATGTGGCATTGAAAAACAAGGAACTCACACAATATTATACAAAATGGGTGAGCCTGGAGGACATTATGCTGAGTGAAATATCTCAGTCACAAAAACACAAATACTGCATAGTGCCACTGTTATAAAAGAGGACTGACATAGGGGTTGGGGGGAGACTGAGAAAGATGGGATAAATGATGTATACTGCATTGAAACAGATGAGGGAGAGAACTGTTTAAAAGGAATATATGATTTAACATTATTGTCATGACAGGAGTCCAGAATGAAGGTAGCATAGTGGAGTGGACTTGGGTGGAGGGATTGTATAGCAATGAAAGAATCTTTTCTTTTACTTTTCAAAAAGAAAAGCGAATTGTTGGGGGGGTGGTAGGCAGGGAGAAAAATACAGCAATGAATGAATGGAAATCCAAAGTCTCTGTAAACTTCCCTTAAAATAAATTTAAAATAAAGTTAAAAACACCAAACACATGCTCCAGGAATTACTTCCGCGGTACAAGCCCAAATGCAAACCCTCCACACCTGACACTTTGTGCTTCCTCCTCAGAGACAGATGGTCAAAGGCACAAGCTCCGCTTCTCTGTCCAGGGAGCCTCCAACACACCCCTGCTTTCTCTTCCAGGGCACAGTCATCCGCGTGTTCTCGGTACCCGACGGCCAGAAGCTCTATGAGTTCCGGAGGGGAATGAAAAGGTCTGTGTTCCTGGTAAAACCCACTCTAAAGCCCCCAGAACTGCCACAGTGGATGGCTGAGAGCCCCCCAGCGTGAGGCTGGAGGGTGGCCCTGTGGTGCCTCTCACCTGGAGAAAGCTCACTTTCTTACTTAGGTAACTGTCGCCTGGTCAGTTCCACCTCACAGCGACCCCAGGAGGCAGAGAAGGGCTGTCCAACAGGGTGTCCAACGCTGCTGGTCTTTAAGGAAACAGACTACTTCATCCTTCTCCTGCAGAGCAGCTGGTGGATTCGAACTGCCGATCTTTCGGTTTGCAGCCAAGGACTTGCCCACCACACCACCAGGGCCCCTCAACTGGCTTACCCACTGCCATTGGGTTGAGTCAGCCTCATGGTGACTCTCTTCAGGGCTTCTGAGGCCTTGATTCTTTGTGGGAGGAGACAGCACATTTTTCTCCTCAGAGCGGCTGGGAGACTCAAACTGCCATCCTTTCAGTTATCAGCCAGACATGCTATGCACCACCTCACCAGGCTCCTTTTAGTTGGCTTCCTGGTGTAGTTAGGTGCCGTCGAGTCAGGCGTGACTCACAGTGACGCTATGAACAGCACATCTGAACCCTGCCCTGTCCTGTGCCGCCTTCACAATCTCTGACTCACTCCAGCCCATTGCTGCGGTCACTGTGTCCGTCCACCTCGTCAAGGGTCTCCCTCTCTTGCTGACCTTCTACCTTTCCAAGCATGAAGCCCCTCTTGGAGGAAAATCCTGTCCTAGCAGTTTGTTTAGTATATGAGAGACGGAGCTTTATCACCTTTGCCTCCAGGATGCACTCTGGCTGCCCCTTTTCCAAGACTCATCTGTTTGTTCTTTTGGGAGCCTGTGGGGTATTGAGTATTCTTCCCCAACACCACAGCTCAAAGGCATCAATTTAGTGCTTCATCAATCCAAGAGCATAGATGCTGTTTTCTAGGGACTTCAGCCATGAGAGTCCTCTCTTGAGGTAGGGCAGGAGAAGCTGGCAGAGAAATGAGAGTGCTGGGTGGGGGTGTTACAGTTTAAAAATAATTCCCACTTCCCTCCATGGAAATAAAGGACAACGTGGAGTAGTCAATCACTGGTAGAATTCTTGCCTCCCTTCCGGGAGACCCAGCTTTGCTGCCCGGGTGATGCCAGTCCAGTGTGGGCACCACCATCCGCCAGTGGAGGCCTGTGTGTTGCTATGATGCTAAACAGGTTTCAGCAGAACTTCCAGACTGAGATAGAGTAGGAAGAAAGGCCTGGCTATCTACTTACCTTGTGGACCACTGTGATCCAGCTCACAGGTGGCACTGGAGATGGCACAGGGCTGGGCCGCGGTGACGGTGGTGACCCTGGCGCCAACTCCACAGTCTGACCCCAGCTCTGAGCTTGACAGCTGTAGGGCCGCAGCTGCGTGGTACATGGAGCAGCCAGGAGAACTCCGAGATGACCACAGGACAGGCCCTCCAGGATGCTGCGTCCTGGATGAAATCCTGGCCTTCCTGCATCTTTCTCACGTTCATGTCTAAAGGTTATCGGTGGTGAAGAGATTGAGATTGTTCACAGCTTTAATTTACTTGGCTCCACAGTCAACATTCTTGGCACCAGCAGCCAGGAAATTAAGAGACGTATTGCGATGGGAAAGTCTGCTTTTAGGGACCTCTCCAGACTATTGATGAGCAATGGTGTGTCTGATATAGTCCATGGTCTTTGCAATCTCTTGTTATGTGTCAGAGAGATGGACAATGACTAGGGAGGAGAGAAGAATTGATGCCTTTGAGCTGTGGTGCTAGAGAAGAGTATTGAATGTACCATGGACTGCCAAGAAAACAAACAGATTCATCCTGGAGAGGATTAAACTAAGCTGTGAGCTGCTCCTTGGAGGCAAGGATTCTGAGACTTCGTCTGACATACTTTGGACATGTTGTAAGGAGGGACCAGTCCTTGGAGAGGGACATCATGCTTCCTAGTGTGGAGGGACAGCGCAGTAGGGGAAGACCCTCTATGAGGTGGATTGATTCAGTGACTGGGGTAATCTGAATTGGTGTGTCGGAGGCAATGCGATTGGCACAGGACAGAGCAGAGTTTAGGGCTTTTGTACATAGGGTCGCTATGAGTCACAAGCAACTTGACGGCACATAACAAAAACAACCATTACGTTGGAAGCAGCTTGCAGCTGACCCTCCAATGGGTTTTCAGAGGCAGTAAGTCGCACAGGAGGAGAATGCTCATCTTTCTCCCACGGAACCACTGGTGGATTCGATTTGCCTGCCTTTGGGTTGGCAGCACAGCTCCTTGCCACTAGGCCACCAGGGCACCCATTTCTAAGCAGGAAGCACATGGCGAAGAGATCTTAGGTGCCAAGGACGTGGTTTGTTTTCTGGGGAAGCTCGTCAGGCGGCCACCACTCTGGCTCACCGCCATGCGCCTGTGTTTCTAGGTATGTGACCATCAGCTCACTGGTTTTCAGCATGGACTCGCAGTTCCTCTGCGCCTCCAGCAACACGGAGACTGTGCACATCTTCAAGCTGGAGCACCTCACGGACAGGTAAGCACAGCTCGGCTCCCAGCTGCTCAGCGCTGACCACCCAGAGACCCCACTGAGCCAAGTAGCAGGCCTGGGGCCCCTGCACCACCTTCTCCTCCCGTAGAACTCACTTCTTCCTGGTTGAATGCTGCCAGCATGGCTCACCGGCTTTGTTTGGGAAGTAGTGAGCCTGTGTTAGCAAAGCTGGGTGATGCAATGCAGGAACACTGCCCCCCTACCGATTAGAGACCACCAATCCACTCCTGCTGGGCAGACCGCATCTGTCCACCAGAGGCCCTGCACAAGGTTGAGGGAGTGGAGGGGAACATCGGATCTGGCCCTCCTGGACTGGGTTCTCTGGTAGAAACCACGGGACTTGGTGCTCCTGGTGTCCTTAACTCCCCACCCCCAGCATTGTCTTGAGGTCCTCCACCCACTCGCTGTGGAGGAAGGGGACAGGAGCCCAGGGCAAGTCCAGGTGCAGGCCACCAGCGAGGGCTGGGTGTGTGTGGGAGACCGGTGACCATCGGGGATCCATTAGCAGACAGATGGACCCATGGTGTCCTCTGATCGCCAGAATAACATGTCCCTAGCCGTTCTAGCGGGCAGAACATTATCCGAGCCTGCCTGCCTGGTGGGTGCAGCGAATGCCATCGGGGTCCAGCAGCTAAGTGTGCCCACGCCTGCCTGTCGTTGTCCCCGCAGCCGCCCAGAGGAGCCCGCCACCTGGAGCGGCTACGTGGGAAAGGTGTTCATGGCCGCGACCAACTACCTCCCTGCGCAGGTGTCCGACATGATGAACCAGGACCGGGCCTTCGCCACCGGGCGTCTGGGTTTCTCTGGGCAGAGAAACATCTGCACACTGTCCACGTATGTACGGCAGGGAAGTCTGGGTGAATGCCACCCGGCGGGAGAGGGCCTTCCCGAAAACGGATTCAAATGTCCAGGCAGGTCGGGGAAAGAAGAGAGAGGCTGGATCCACGCCCCTCTGCTGGCCCTGCAGTCCGCCCTTGCCTTAGCTCCTCCCTGACTTTGACCCCTGTGCTCAGGGCACAGGAAGTGGGCGTGGGGTTTCTGAGGATGATAACAGCCTGTCTCCAGCCTGCAGTACAGTGTTGATTAGACAAGGTGGGACTGGACATTCTTATTCTTGCTCCTGTCTTTATATCATTATGGAAAGAATATTTCTAGTTCCATTGTCTAAGTTCAGACATCTGTGGGGGTAACAGATGCTTGATCAAGGGGACGGGTTACTGAAGACATTTAATCATTACAAGCATTTCATAAAACTAACCAGCAGAAAAGTGGATGACCCTGGAGGACATCATGCTGAGTGAAATATCTCAGTCACAAGAGGACAAATATTGCATAGGGTCACTGTTGTAAAACAGGACTGACATCAGGGTTAAGGGAAGACAGAGAAGGAGGGGAGGAATGATGTATCCTGCATTGAAACAGATGAGGGAGAGAACTGTTTAAAAGGGACATATGAATGGATATTATTGTCATGACAGGAGTCCAGAATGAAGGCTGCGTAGTGGAGTGGACTTGGGGGGAGGGATTGCATAACAATGAAAGAATTTTTCTTTCTTTTCAAGGCGAAGAGTGAATTGGGAGGGGAGAGAAAAGTACAACAATGAATGACTGGAAACCCTAAGTCTCTGTAAACTTTCATTAATTTAAAAAAACAAAAACAAAAACAAACTAACCAGCAGAGATGGCAAGCTAACTTTGCATTTTGGCCCTTCCTGTGGCATCATCCATAGGGAGTTGAGCTGCCAACCGAAAGGCCACACCTCTTCTTAGGTTCAAATCCACCAGTGGCTCCGTGGGAGAAAGATGGGCAAGCTCCTCTCCTGCAGTTTATAGCCTCAGAAACCCAGGGGAGGGCCAGTTATGAGTCAGTTCAGACTTCACAGCAAGAAGTTGAGGCTGAGCCACCTTTCAAAGCAGGGACACAGAAGCCAAACCCCTGCCATCAAGTAGACGGAAACCGATAGATGGCTGTGTCTCGTGGAGTTTAACTGTGCTCCACACGGTCTTCAGTGACTGGTTCCTAGGAGCAGCTCACCAGCTCTTTCTTCCAGGATGCCTTGGGGTAAACGTGAATCGCCTGCCTGTGGGTTAGCCCCCAATCTCCTCAACCATGTGCACCTCACAGGGACTTCTAGAAGGTAGAACTGACATCAGATTTAGATGGTGCACGTTTTTGACAATGATAGCTTTCCAAAGAGGGAAAGCCCGTCAAGGTCGATCAACACAGTGACCGGCAATGGGCTTGAGCACATCAGAGATTGGGAAGTTGGTGCAGGACAGGCTGTGGTTCAGGTCTGTTGTTCATGGGATTGCTATGAGTCAGGGTGGACTTGATGACACCTACTAACAACAGCAGCAGCTTTTAGGAGAAGAATCATGTCCACATGCCCTGCAGTACTAGTCTAAGCAAGAAATAGTCCTTAGGCTGGATTACTATGGCAGGACCCGAACTCTGGGATCATTGAGCCGAGGGCAGGTCTGTGGCAGGAGACGAAGCTGACGAGTGGAGCCCACGTGGCTGAAGCCCGTCCGTTACCTGTCTCTGTTGTAACCCCAGTGCATGTTCCCCTGGCCCCCTAGGATCCAGAAGCTGCCCAGGCTGCTGGTTGCATCCTCTGACGGACACCTCTACATCTACAATCTGGACCCTCAGGATGGTGGGGAGTGCGTCTTAGTCAAGACCCACAGGTGAGAATGGGAGGCTTGGGAACCGCAGCCTCTCAGGAGCTGGTGCTGTGCGCGGTCGCCTCACCACGCTCCGTGGTGACAGGCTCAGTGCTTTTGCTCTTTATTTCGTCACCTTTGATGTCTCAGGGGCAGACTTCTAGCAGGTGTCGGCTTGCCGTGGCCACGTGCATCAGATTCTCATGGGAAAATGAAATTTCTTTGCCCCTTGACACCATCCTAGCGGGCTGTTGTGTACCCACTGAGTCAGAGCCCCCCCACAGCTCACTCTCCAGTGGATTTTCAGAGGAAGTAAATCCCATGGGCAGAGATATCCTAGTGGGCAGGGCGCTTGGCAGGTGCATTGAATTGAACCAGAAAGGAGCCCTGGCTTCTGTGATGATATGCCAGGCTTGACTGTCCCTCCTGCTGTGGACAGGACACTGTGCCATGCCTACTGCCACCACCTGGTGACGCCCTTCCTGTCAGCGTGTCTGAGGCCTTGCTGAGAGCCCCAGGAGGAGCCCGGGCCCAGTGTTTGTTCATGAAATAAAGAGAAATGGGTCACTTGGGAGCCACTGGGGGTCATACTGACCTGGCAGTGTCCTAAGGAGCCTCTCATTTAAGTCATTTCACTCTCGAGTGGCCTTTTCCTTGGAAGGGTCCTGGATGGGGCATGAGCTGACTTTTTTTTTTCTTGCCTCCCCTCCCCTTAATTACTGCAATTAGCTTGCTGGGCCCAGGAACTACAGATGACAATAAAGAAAATGACCTCAGACCTTCATTACCTCAGTCCTATGCAGCAACTGTAGCCAGACCCAGCACAGCCTCAGCCTCCACGGTGCCAGGTGAGCAATGCCTGCCAGGTGAGCGATGCCCGGCCCGTCTCCCCTCCTTGTTACTGTGGGTGGCTTGACCTCCCCCTGCACATCTGCCCCCTCACAACTGAGATGATAATAATAATAATAATAATAAACCAGTTGGCCTAGTAGATGAACAGAAAGTGATGCTACCAAGCCAAAGGTGGTGACTCTAATCCGCGGCTCTCAGGCCTGTTTTTAATTGTGTTTGGACAATCATTCTTCTAGGTCATATAGCCCTGGTGTGTCCATTTGCTGGACAGAGGTAATTTGTGGTTGCTGTGAGGCTGAACACTGTGACACTGATGAGTCAAATGCATTAATGGCCACCCGTGATGGACAGTGTTGGGTGGAGCTCCCCAGTTAAAACAAGCTTGGAAGCAGGAGTGGCAACCACTTCCAAAATAGCTTGTCTCCAGAAACCCTATGAACCTGGAGAAAGGATGAAAGTCACGCAAGTGTCGTGGACTTTCATTCATAGGGTCATTATGAGTTGTCTATGACTCAACGGCACTTAACAACAACAACAACAATAATAATAAAAGATGCCATTGAGTCAGGTGTCCCGGTGGTGAGGTGATGAAAACGCTGAGCTTCCAACCAGAAAGTCAGCCTACACACACACACACACACACACACACACACACACACACACACACACACACTCTCTCTCTGCAGGAGGCAGGTGAGGGATCCACCTCTGTGATTCCAGCCTTGGAAGTCTAGGAGGAGGCATGCACAGTCCTAAAGGTTTGAATCCTGACGATATGCTTGGCCTCGTTTGGGCTTCACGTTGATTCCCACCCATGGCGACCCCTCGTGTGGGAACGTGGAGCTGGATGGCACAGCACAGGGGTTTTAATGGGCCTGTGGGTAGGAAGTTGTGCTGCCAACCCAAAAGGCAGGTAGTTTGAATCCACCAGCTGCTCTCTGCAGTCTCCTCCAGTGTGAGAGATTATGTTGTTGTTGTTAAGTGCCATCAAGTCGTAGGTGACTCATCGTGACCCTGTGAACGAAAGTCCTCAACACTTGTGTGACTTTCATCCTTTCTCCAGGTTCATAGGGTTTCCTGAGGCAAGCTATTATGTAAGTGGTTGCCACTCCTGCTTCCAAGCTTGCTTTAATCGACTCCACCAAACACTGTCCACCATGAGTAACCATTAATGCATTTGACACATCAGCGTCACAGTGTTCAGCTTCACAGCAACCACAAGTTACCTCTGTACAGCAATTGGATACACCATGGCTATACGACCTAGAGGAATGTTTGAACAAAAACAATGAAAAACAGGCCCTCGAGAGCCGTGGATTCAAAGTCACCACCTTTGGCTTGGTAGCATCACTTTCTGTCCACTAGGCCAGCTGATCACTCTCTATGTTGAAGTTATTGTTGCTGAGTGCCGTTGAGTCGTAGGCGACTCATAGCAACCCTATGAACGAAAGTCCTCAACACTTGCGTGACTTTAGTCCTTTCTCCAAGTTCATAGAGTTTCTGGAGGCAAGCTATTATGGAAGTGGATGCCACGCCTGCTTCCAAGTGAGAGATTATAGACTCTGGAGACCCGCCGGAGGGTCAGCTCTGAGTTGGTTCAGATTGACAGCACCTTGCAGTAATATAATCTTACAGGAATCGAATACCAGGACTTTCTTCCGACTCTCTACCCTCATTCGTAATCACTTACTCCTTGCTGTCAAGTAGGAACTGACTCATCACTGACCCGCCACTGGGTTTCCAAGGCTTTACATGACCTGGGAAGAGAGTGCCCATCTTTCTCCTCAGGAGCCATTGGCCAATTCACATCACCCGAGAGGCACACAGCCTCTGAGTCCCTACGGACGGCGGCTCCCCTTCCCAGCACCTGGGGAGTTGACGCCGTGGTGACAGTCTTTAAACTCAGGTGCTCAGGGAAGGCGGCCACAGCACAAGATGAATTTCCATCACAAGTTGTTTTGACCTGCTGTCATCATGAGGGTTCCAAGAAAGGGTCATGGCGTATGGGCTGGAAAGATAAGGAGGCCAGCCACCCACTTCTGAGAGGCCTCCAGGCCAGCAAAGGCGGTAGTGGGTCTTGACTCGTGTAAGGCACAGCCACTCTAGGTCAAAGTCAAAGGCTGCCCCCACAGCTTTCTTTGAGATGCTGTTTTGCTGAGCCCCTGCCCAGGTGGTGTCTTGAGAACCAGCGCACGGCATCTCTCATTCCTGGCAATTCTCCTCTTGGTTTCCAGGTTATTCCGAGGACGGCGGGGCGCTCCGAGGAGAGGTTATTCCTGAACACGAGTTTGCCACGGGACCAGTGTGTCTTGAGGATGAGAATGAGTTTCCCCCTGTGAGCATTAGGAGTTCTTAACCGAGGGCTCCATCCATGTGCTTGGAAGAGCCTTCACCTCCCTCAAACCAGAGCCAATCCCTGACCCCGTTCTCTAGTCTGAAACGACTAATCCCGCCACTAATCCCGAGACAGCCCTCGTGGGTTGATGGTGCTTGTGTGCTTCAGACCCACAGAGGAGCCCGCAGGCGTCATGCTAAACCCTGACCACGTCAGGATAACCGAGCTAATCCGGCAGCCCCGCGGCCTGTCCCGCTCAAAGGCTGAGGGCCTTTCCTTTGGCTTGTCTCTTGCTGGGGTTGCTGCCCCTGAGGTAGGACTCGAGGCCCTGGACAGCCCTCCTTCTGCAGGGTTCCCGTCTGCTTTTGTGGGATGCTGCCCTTGCGGTGCTGAAGGTGAAGCTTTTCCAGGGCGGGCCGTGTGCTGGGGCCTCGGTCTGGGCTGCGCCTTCCTGGGCCCTCCGCTCACCCCTCCGGTGCCACCAGCACTCATTAATGAGCAGTCAGGCCCGAGCCGTGGGGGCTGAGCTCACCTGGGGCCCCAGGGGAGCTGCTCCACATCCCATCCCTGCTGTTTGTGCACAGCGTCCCCAGGTTGGCAGGACACTGGGCGTGGCTTCTTTGGACGCAGCAGGGAGGGACCCGCCTGCGCTTCTGATCCTTCAAGCTTTCATCTGAAGCAATAGGTCCCTGGTGGGAGCTTCAGCTAGGAACAATCAATCCCTGTCATCCTGGTGCCATTGAGAGAGCAGAGGTAGCCGCTAGGCTGTGCTGAGTGCACCAGCTGAGCTGGCTGGCACCAGGGCCAAGTCACTGTGTGGGTGTCAGTACACAGCATGTCCTGTCCGCTGTGTCAAGACTCTGCAGAAGGATGGTGGACAGGCCTGGCTCCTTTCTCCCAAATCCCTGAGACAAGCCAGGACCCTCGTGTGGCTGAAAACACTAGTGGGAGGCCCCTCCCTCTGCACCGTGAAGGGAGAGTCCGTGCGTAAAGTGGGGGGTCAGGAGCTGTGAGTCTCTCTGGCTTCCTTCAGGGCTGAAGTTTCAGTTCCTGGCTCTCCTGGGCCCGGTGCCAAGGACATTGCCAATAAGTGCAGTGTGGTTTTCCGTGGCTTGTTCATATCATGATGAGCGAAAACGTCTGCCGGCTTGCCACCGGCTACATACCAGTTTTGCCTTTGGGTTCTTACGGCCCCAACTAGCCACAAAGAGTGTTTCTGAGTCCCCAGAAGTTGGTGGCTATTTGCCTTAAAGGGCATTCCCCTCTCTCTTAAGTGCAACAGACACTTTCAGCCGGTCCCGCTTCTGCAATCTGGGTCAAAGTCTGGAACCACTCTACTTGACTATTCCATGACTAAGTATATTCTCAATGGCCATGCGTGTAAACCTCACCACCTCTTAAATTTGCTAAAAGGGGGCACTTGGAATGTTGGCATTTATGAGATGGTTTCTGGCCAAAGAAACCCTGGAGAAAAGGAATAGGCATTCAATGCCAAAAACGTCTTTGAGGGGAACAAGAGTAGTGACAACAAGCTTGCTGATCATTGAGCAGGGTCCCTGGATTGATTGCTGGAAACACACCAGGAAAGCTGCCATTGCTTCAGACTCCGGAGGCGCGTGTGTGCAGAGCAATGGCATCCCACGGGGTTTTCAGGCTGCTCTGATCTTTCAGAAGCAAATCACTAGACCTTTTCTGGGGACCCCTCTTGGAGGTCCTGAACCAACAACCTTTAACTGTTTGTACCACCCAGGGACTAGAATGGATGTTAGACATCTGCAGCTGTCGGGAAGCCTGGCTGCTCTCAAGCTTGTTGCTTGGGCGGTGAGGAGCGGCAGCGTCCTGCCATGGGTCAGTGACAGCTGTGGCTCGGTGACAGCTGTGGCTCGGTGACAGCTGTAGCTCACGGCTCATCTCACCGCCACGAAAGGACCAGGAGCAGAGAGCTCCGGGATGTTCTCTGCACGTGGACACCTCACCTCACCCATCCTCACGGACAGAAGCCTCAGCCCGAGACACTGGGATGCCTCCTCTCTCTATTCTGAACCCATAATGCAAATATGAGTGAGAAGTCCTATTTTTCATGAAGGTCTGTAAAGATGTATGGGAGGAGAAAGGAGCTGAGAATCTTGGCGTGGCTCAGGCTACTTGTCTTGTGGCTGTGAGCACAGGTTTCAGGGTCATGTACATCAGGGCACTGCCCTGAGAACCTGGCTCGGGGGGTCCTTGTTGTTGTTGTGTGCTGTGACATTGGTCCTGACCCAAGGTGACCCTGCAACCCAGAGCAGGACCCCCCCCCCCGGAGGGCCCCCAAGGCTGACATCTTCACAGGAGCAGATTGCCAGGTCTTTCTCCCTACCTCCCCAGACTGGCCGAAGGCCTGAGCCAACAACCTTTCAATTAGCGGCCAAGCACAGTAACCACTACACCACGAGGGTCCGCCGGCTTATCCTGAGCCATCTTTTTCAAACAGACTGACACGTTCCAGGACGTGTGATCACACTCTAATCTCCTGGGGAGGCATTTCGAGGCAAGAACCACGAAAGAGGAGACACATCAATCATTTCTGGACCCAAGAAAGATGCCACCGTCAGGAGGCTGAACGGCTCTCCTCTCCGTAACAAGCCATCCTTTTCTGAGTCTAGTTTCCAGCTCATCTTAATCTCGTAATTCAAGAGTAAAGGAACTGGGGACCAAGAGTAGTTAGTGGCTTCGTTTCAAGTGAGGTAGCACTCTGTGTTTACACATAAACTTTTATAACAATACATAGAAACAAGCGCACACACACATTTCAAAAGGCAGTATTTTCTGCAGCTGGGCCTTCCTGTCGACACCGCAGTGAGCTGGGTGGATTATCTGTGGCCGAGCGTGTGGGTCAGTCTGTGGACAGAAGGACAAACCCCTCCCTGCCGACCCCACAGGGATAGATGTGTTGGTGTCACAGCCTCTTCCTGGAAAGAGTAAGGCCATTCTGTTTTGATTTTGGTAGATAATCTTGTGCCGTGGAAGTCAGAAGGGCAAAACGAAGCAGTCATGACGAGCCGGACACCTCAGAAATCAGGACAGCCCCCAGGTGGTTTTGGAGCAAACCAGGCGGAAGCGTGGCCTGCAGTTGTGAGCAAAGGGGGTCAGGCGTGGCCTAGGCCACCGCCTGACCATGGGACATGGTGACCCCCACAGCGCTCTGTGGCCCCGGGTGCCAGGGTGCACTGCTGACAACGTGTACACGTACACTGTTCAAGACACATTCAAACCCTAGTGTAAATGCTGACTAACCATATTGGTATGTAACCAGGATTTTATATTAAAAGGAGCATCCTTTTTACATGTATGCTGTGTACAAAAATGTACTTCTAGGAAACCGTCTTTGAATTCTATTTCTTGTACATTACTTACGTATATACAGAGAGACTATTTTAGCCAGGCAAAGTATTTTTTTTTTTCTGCAGTGATTGAAATAAATCATGTATTACCTTTGGGTCCCCTGGAGGACACTAATAATAAAAATCATGGCAGTGCATTTTTGAGTAGTTAAGAATTGTTTTTATTTCTTAAAGTCTTGTGGGGAAGACAAACTCCTAAAATCTTTCTAGAGACAGTCATCCAACTTAAAAGGGAGAGGGCACGGACTTGTCCCTGTAACTCCAAAGCCAGCCAGCCGCTGTCACGCTCGCCCTGCTCCGGCGGTCCATGTGGCCTCATCATCCACATGGCCTCGTCGTCCACATGGCCTCATCCTGTGTCCCTGTCATGATGACAGCAGTGTGAAGTCCACTGCTGTGGCCACTGTGTGTTCTGAGTGTCGCCCCACAGCCCTCTATCACTCTATTCTAGAAGCAGACCTAACTTGGGGTCTGAGGATCACTGCTTTTCAAAGCTTCCTCCGCACCAACAGCTTGCCAGACATACGGGGTCCAGGTCCCATCACAGACCAGCTGAGTCGGCATCTGCACCTTCACACGATCCCCCAAAGGGGACTGAAGGCATTTTAAGGATGCGGGTGAGAATGAACCCAGGGCTAAAACGGTCAGGAAAACCGGGGACGTAACCAAACCAAATCCAAATCCACTGCCATGGCCTGGCTTCTGACTGAATGAACCTCTCCTGGGCTGTGAATCTTAACAGGAAATGCTCTCACCTTCCTCCCTCAGAGTTGCTGGTGGAGGCGAACCTCCAGCCCTTCAGTTACCAGTCACCCATGTACACAGTGTCCCACCAGGGCTCCTTGGAGATGTAATAAGACAATAAAATGCATGGCAGGCCTGTCCACATCGGGTGACGTGCCACTGCTGTGACATTCTGCCGCGTCCACTCACTGCCTTCTTTCCCTCTCACAATTGGCACTAAGGAAACAAAAACTCTGCAAGGATACACTGTCCAAGTTCAAAGGCGGGGTCTGAACTTGACCCGGGCTCCAAAGCTCGTGCAAACTCGCTTGCTGTCTGCTGCAGGGCAGCAGAGCTCAGCAGTCGTCGTTAGCCAGATCAGGTCACAGCCAACGGGGAAAAGGGTCAGTGTGAAGTGTTTAAAGGGTGGTTGGGGCATATTTTTAAAGTATATGTAGCTTGTTAGTTGCCATAAAGTCAGCATTAGAATCTGGCTGTTAATGCGGTTGTGTGTTACCTCCCAGCACCGCTGTCACTGAGTCGAAGCTGACCTTCCATCAGGCTCCCAAAGCTATAAACTTGACAGGAGAAATTACCCATCTTTCTTTCTCAGAACACCTGGAGGATCTGAACTGCCTACCTCTCAGTTAGCAGCCTGGTACACTGCACATTATACTACCATTATGTTGTTGGATGCGCCGTTGAGTCACCTGCGACCCATAGCAACCCTTGTACAGCAGCTCTGAAGCCTGCCCTGACCTGGGCCAGTCTCACTGATTCTGACACACCTACCCCCATTGCCCTAGTTACTGTTTCAATCCATCTCATCCAGGGTCTTCCTCTCCTGCACTGTGTCCCTTCACCCTTCTGAGCATGATGTCCTTCTCCAAGGACTGGTTCCTCCTGGTCACATGCCCAAAGTATGTGAGATGGAGCTTCAAAATCCTAGCCTCCCAGGAGAAGCCTGGTTTTACCCTCTCCAGGACAGACCTGTTTGTTTTCTTGGCAGTCCATGGTATGTTCAGGTACGTACGCCACTGTCGTGGGAAATACTCCGTGATGCTCTGTAGGGGTTTTTGCTCGCTGGTTTTCGGCAGTAACTGTCAGCTCTACGTCTCCCTAGTCTGTCTTAGTCTGGGAGTCGCTGAGACCTGTCCACCGTGGGTGGCCCTGCTGGTGTGGGAAATACCAGTTACATAGCTTCCTGCATCACAGCAACAGGCAAGCACCACAGCAGGACAGACTGACAGAGGAGCTGTGTAACTGTTGTCAGGTGCCTGTGGAGTCGACAGCAGCTCCCAGCGACCCTGTGAACAACGGATCTGAACCCTGTCCCAGGCTGCCTCAGCCTCACAATCTCCCCATGCTCAAGGCCAATGTCAGTTACAGTCCCTGTGTCCATCCTTCCTGTGACGAAGGTGTGGGAGGCGGAACTGAGGCCAGAGGCGAGCCGGCCCTGCCTAATGGCCCCGGCAGGTGGCTACGTGGTCAGGCAGCGGCAGGCCGTGTGGTGGGGGTCACAGCAGGGGGTGGCCGAGGGGTCCTGAGTGTAATCCACGCTGGAGATGTTGTCATTGGCGATGTCCTGCAGGACGTCGGCGAGTGCCCGCCTGACCTCGGGCAGCACGGCCTGGTATTCATGACCACCTCTCTCCAGGGGCACATCTTCGGCCAAGTTGTCTTCCAGGTTGAAAATGAGCGGGAGCTCATGCCGTTGCTCTGGTCCCACACGCCCATCACAGGCTCTCGCTCCACCTAGACAGAAGCCCAACATCGTCAGCACACCCAGCTTAGACCTGTGTGCGGAGAGCAGAGCTACGGCTGATCAAAATTCACTCGTACACGTGCCAGGGCTTAAAGAGCTAAGGAACCACTCTCCCTGTCAAAACCTTCCCTTTAGAAATAGCTTCTCAGGGAGCTCTGGTGGCATAGTGGCTAGAAGCTGCACTGTGATCCCAGAGGTATGTGGTTCGAATCCACCAGATGCTCTGCTGGAGAAGGAGGGGCAGTTTCCCCCTGGACCAGTCAGATTCCATTTGATGGTACACACCCAAAAAACAATAAAAGGGGAGGGGTAATTTAGAAATAGCTTCTCATTCTAGACAAGACTCCTTTGGTTCAGAATGGTTCTGAAACGTCTTAAAATATGCCCTCAGTTGGTTGCTTTTAAAAATTTGTTTGTTGGGTGCTGCTGTGTCAGACCCGACCCTTAGCTGACCCTCCAGCGGGTTTTCAAAGGCAGGAAATCAAAGAACAAATGAATATGTCTTGGAGAGGGTGCAACCAGAACACTCTTCGGAGGCAAGAATGATAATGCTTTGCCTCACCTTCTTTGGGCATGTTGCTAGGAGGGGCTATTCCTTGGAGAAGGACATGATGCTGGGAAGGGTGGGGGGTTGGCAAAAGAGAGAAAGACCCTCAACCAGGTGGATTGACACAGTGACTGCCGCAATGGGCTCTTGTGTGTCAGGAAGTGTGAGGATGGCGCCATGCAGGATAGAACAGGGTTCAGATCTTTTGTTCATAAGGTCGCTAAGAGTCGTACTTGACTCAGTGGCACCCAACAACAACAAATCTCACAGGAGGAGACTGCCTACCCTTCTCCCACAGAGCAACTGGTGGATTCGAACCGAGTGCCTTAGGGACTACAGCACAGTTTCTTGCCACTTTTAACCACCAGGGCTCCCTCAGACAAACCAAACCAGGAGCAGTAGGGAAAACTAAAATCACACCCACCGTCGAGTGGCTTCCGACTCACACAGACCCCATAGAACAGAGCGAGCGGCCCCACAGGGTTTGTAAGGCCGTTAAAAGCCGCCTACCACTTCGTCTTCCTGTTAGCAAGTGCCTGGTGTGTTTGAAGCTCTGAACTTCCTGCTCAAAACTGAGCAATTTAGCAACTGTACCACCAGTTCACCTCGCTAGTAGAACATTCATTCAAATATCTTTAATCTCTGTCCTTTGAGGTTTTAACGTTTTCTTCCTCTTGGACACTAAAAGGAATTCGGTCTGGTGAATTTGACAGGAAGGCATATGGAGAGCTATTCAATTTCAATTAAGGATGAGATTCTGGTTCATGGATCAGAACCTGCCTGTCCCAAAAGGCTTGGAGTGAGGGCAGCACGGTTGGGCCCTAATGATTCAAACACCTTCTGCTGTTGTTGTTTTTTCCATACAAAAAGTAGTAAGGTATCTGGCAGGAATTACTATCACTGAATGAGCAAAAGGAATTAAAAAGATGTTGTCAGGGCCATCAAGATGAGTTGTGACTCACAGGGCCCCAGGTGACAGAGAACTGCCTCACTGGGTTTTCTAGACTGAAATTTCGATACATTGCCAGGTCTTTCTCCTGCATGACCTCTGGGTGGATTCGAACCACCAACCTTTGAGCTAGCAGCTGAGCATGTAACTGTTACGCCACCCTGGCGCCATAAGCAAATGCTAGCCTTCAGAAACCAAAGAGTTCCTAAATGTCTAGAAAATAACTTGGGCCCACAGAGATCGGACGAGATTTGCTCTTCTTGGTCCTTTCCATGGGATACTCCCACGTACAGGGCGATGAGAACTCCAGCCAACACCTGTGGTCTCCTTAGCTTCCCGGGTTCTGGGCTAACTTCAATGGGGGCAATCTTCAGAGGTTCCAGACAGAGGGAAAGGCTCCAAATCAGCAGGTAAATGCCCTTCAGACCCACAGCTGATCCTTGAGCTGTCTGTATGCACAAGTAAAAGACACTCGGAGGAGCACAAGAGTTACCAGCTGCAAAAGTTAATGGCATTACAAACGTCATCCAGTAATAACAATCTGTGAGTGGATGCATGGTGGGCATGCAAGCTGAACAGGGGTGCGAGGCAAATGGGACTGCTCCATGAACAGAAATAGGCAGGACAGAGGATATTTATACATACTTATTTTTTAATTAGGTATTATCATCTTTTAAAAAAAATTTATTATGTGTGCGTGTGTGCATGTGTACCGTCGAATTGGATCCAACTGGTATAGGAGGAGGTTGCCCCTCCTTTCCCAGTGAAGCATCTGGTGGATTCGAACCGAGTACCTTTAGAATTGCAGTGCAGCTTCTTGCCACTAGGCCTCTACATACCTATTTCTACGTCTTGCAAACACCGTCATGAATATACTACAGCATTCAGTGGCCAAGCTTCATAAAAAGTTAGCACTTTGGACGTACAGCCAATCACCAGGAAGGAATGAGAGCTGGGGGTCACAGTGATGATTTAGGGGGGCACCCGGCACTGGGAATAGCACAGTCCATGAAGACAATACTCTCTATGCTACTTTAGGAAGTGGTGACTGGAGCCTGAAAAGCTAAGGTGTAACTCTTGATCTCTCCTCTCCAAAGAAGAGTGGAGAGAATGAGAGATGCAAGCAAACAATTAGTCCAAGGCCCAAGGGATTGCACGGACTCAGCCTCCACAGCCTCAGACCAGAAAGAGAAGACGCTGAGGCCGTGGTTGAGTGCCCTGCAAGGGTCCGCTCACCTGCTGTCTTTGCACCAGCAGCAAAGCCCCCCTGGACCAGGGCGCCCCAGCTCCCTTCACTAACACGTTGTCATGAACCATCCAGTCAGAAGGGACTCATGGCTGACACTCCTGGAAGTTTCCAGAGGCAGCAAATCACACTGCAGGAGACAGCCCATCTTTCTCCCACAGAGCTGCTGGTAGATGCAAACTGAGTGCTTTGTGTTGGTTATTGTTGTTATGTGTCAGCAAGTTGCCCATGACTCATAGCGACCTGTACAACAGCCCTAGACCCTGCTCTATCCTGTGCCAATCGCAGTGTTTCTGACACACCTACCCCATTACCCCAGTGACTGAATCAGTCCACCTCATCCAGGGTCTTCCTTTCTTGCACTGTCCCTCCACCCTCCCAAGCATGATGTCCCTCTCCAAGGACTGGTCCCTGCTTGCAACACGTCTAAAGTATGTCAGGCGAAGCTTTAGAATCCTTGCCTCCAAGGAGCGGCCTGGTATCACCCTCTCCAGGACAAACCTTTTTATTCTCCTGGCAATCCATAGTATATTCAATACTCTTCTCCAGCACTACAGGTCAAAGGCATAAGTTCTCTATTATCCCTAGTCATTGTTCAGCTTTCTGACACATGGCAAGTAACTGTGAAGACTATGGCCTGGATCATGCACACCTTAGTCTCCAGACTGACATCATTGCTCTTCAGGACTTTGGAGGAGTCTCTGACAGCAGACTTTCCTAATGCAATTTGTCTTTTAATTTCCTGGCTGCTGGTGTCAAGAGTGTTGATTGTGGAGTGAAGCTCTTTGCCACTAAGCTGCCAGAGCTTCCTTCTCTAACACTGTCGTTGTGCCTGTCAAGTCAGACTGAAGCCTCCGGTGGGTTTTCAGAGGCAGCAAATGGCATGGGCGGAGAATGTTCATCATTCTCCCGCAGAGCAGCTGATGGATTCAAACCACGTACCTTTGAGATTGCAGCACTGCTTCTTACCACTAGGCTACCAGAGCTCCCTTTCATGTAGCTTATCTCAAAGCAGTTTCAAATAATCAAAATGCAAATGTTAAAAAGTTGGGTGGGAAAGATTCAGAAGACACTGTGTTTCTGATCGCTGGCAATTTTCACCTCCTCTTCCGTCCACCCAGATTCTCCCTGGACTCTAAGAGGACAGGCCCTCTCCCAGGGGTATTTTAATTCCTATCTGATTGAGATCATTCTAAACGGTCCTCTTACTTCATATTCACACTTGACGACCCCAGCACTGTGGTGCCAAGGACTTGCTGGCAGAGTTATTCCTTCTGGAATGAATTTAGTCCCGAAAGGCCGTGCCTCGTAGATCATGCCCTGTAAGGACGCTAACCTAGAAACTCGTTGGAAAGCACAATAAATATCTTGCTGGTTTGCATTTTAGGTTTTGAAGAATCAGGGAGTCTTGGGACCCTTTCATTCCCCTCGTGGCAGGACCTCACAGCACGGCTTTGCTTTATGCTGTATTACTTCCAGGTCTTGTATTTACATTCAGAGAATCATTTTGTCTTCTTTACTCTCTAGTTCCTTAAGAAGTTCTGACTTTAAATCAAAGAATCAAGCTGGAATCCACATCAGGTTTAGGACTGTGGTTTGGTTTTTATCCATTGTTTTTATTAACGAAAACAAAGTTTGAGGTTCCTAACAGGCAGGTGTCTCGGGCACTTCAAAACCACAAAGACTGAAGAGTTTAAGGAACTTCAAGTTTAAAAGGCTTTGAAGTAGCAGGGTAATCAAGTCCGTACCCACACTGCTGGGATATACGCTAGTTTTACGTCACCAGGAGCTGAAAATGGCTTAATGGTAGGTCACAGCAGCATAGATGTTGGACATGATCACTATCTGACTCTCCTTTCAATCAGGAGGGAAAAACCCTACCCAGATGGAAACATGAGAAGAACCTTTATGAGTAAAGTGGCCTTCGATTTGGGGCCTTTCAAAATGAAACCCTATCCACCTATTGCCATCTAGTCAGAACCAATCCCGAGCTGCCCCTTGGAGGGCTTGTGGGTGGGGGGGAGGGTTCTGAGGCTGTAAATTGCTTGGGAGGAAACTGCCCATCTTTCTCCCACAGAGCCACTGGTGGATTTGAACTGCCAGAGAGCCATCAGCTTTGGCTTAACAGCATAAGAGCTGAAAGAGAGGAGGACATTGCTCTGGGAGACATTAGGTTGTAAAGGCCAAAGAATCAAAGGATTGAGAGAGGTCAAGTCCAGCAAGCCGCCACTGGAGGATTTTGACGGTCATCGTGGCCTGCTCTCCAACTCCTAAAATGCACATTTCAGACAGGCTCAGAGCAAACTAAGAGGCCTAAGATACCTGACTACAATCTATTTTCTGAAACGGTCTATTGTTAAGTAAACTGCACTTTAAAATAGCTCTAGGCTCCCATTTCATGTTCAGCCAAAGTGGTATTTAATGGGTAATAAGAAGATGGCACAGTTTTCCCGGGGGAGGAGTTGTATGAACCCTCTCTCAGTGGTCTTGGGAATCACACCAACAGGAAAAAGACCTCGTTTGATGATTTGTGGGTGAGAAAGATCCTTCTGCCAGGGCCAGGGCTTGGGAGGTACCCTGAAAGGTGCTGAGAGCTCCTCCAGGGAGGGAGGCCCCCTGGCTGGGAGGGCCCACGGAGTGGGGGTGGCGGGGTGGGGGCCTGGCACTCACCGGTGACATAAAAGGCCTTGTAATGCTCCAGGCGCACGGTCTGCAGGGCTCCATACTCTCCGGCCGCGCCACTGTTGGGGTGGAAAAGCACCTGAAAAGAGGGGTGCAGGGCTTGCCAGTAAGAGGGGTACAGGGCTTACCAGTGAGAAAAGGGGTACTGGGCTTACCAGTGAGAAAAGCAGGGCTGATCCTCCGGGGAAGGGCTGTCATAGTCCACTCTTCCCACCACTCTTCCCACCTGCCACACCCACACCAACAGCCAGGCCTCAGGTCCACAGGCCAGCTCCCAGCAGCCTCCGGGGTGGGCTGCCTGCGAAATACTTTCCTGCTGACTGATTCATCAGAGGAGGTCACAACCTGGGGCCAGTGGGTGAAAGTTCTCACCAGGTAGGTGACCTGATCCCTGGAACTGGAACTAGCTACACAATTGGCAGGCAGTGTAAATTGAAAATGAGAGAGAACTGGTTGGAAAATTAAGAGTTCAGACCCTAAACTCCCTGCTATGGAACGGATTCTTTTTTTTTAATTTTTTTATTTGTTATGTGTGTACCGTCAAATTAGATCTGACTGGTACAGGTGGAGATTGTCCCTCCTTCTTCAGCAGAGCGTCTGGTGGATTTGAACCATGAACCTCTGGGCTTGCAGTGCAGCTTCTTGCCACTAGGCCCCAGAGCTTGCTATGAACGGATTCTTATGGAGTGAATGGAGCCCCTTTGTACGACAGTGCATCGCTCCACAGTGTCTTCTTGCCTGTCATCTTTTATAGAAACAGATTGCCAGGCCTTTCTTACACGGTACAAGTGGATAGCTCCCCTGATTTTTAAGCAAATAATTGCTTAAAGCATTTAAACAAGATACTAAGTATTGTCATCACATGGGGGCCGCCCAGCTGACTTGTGAAGCAAGCACAGGGCTCTTCTGCACGTGGGTGGCTGTGTGCCTGTCAGGTGACATGCCCTGACCTGGGACTTACTCTCAGTGTCTGTTTCCTCGAGTGTGGGATGGACTGGGGAATCTGAACGTCTAGGACAAATCTCTACACACATTCCTATTGACAAGTACAGCCTTCAATCTGGATTACATCTCAAACATCAAGAGGACAAAATTCTTCACCACTGGACCAACAGGCACCATCACGACAGACAGAGAAAAGATCAAAACTGTCAATGATTTCATTTTAACTTGGATTCACAATCAACATTCATGGTAGCAGTAGTCAAGAAATAAAAAAATAAGAAAATGTTGCATTGGGAAAGTCCGCTGTCAATGACCTTTCCAAAGTGCTAAAGAGCAAAGAGGTCAGTTTAAAGACTAAGGTGCAGCTGGCCCAAGCCACAGTCTTTTCAACTACATCTGAAAGTTGCACAGTGACTGAGGATGACGGAAGCAGAATCGATGCCTTTGACCAAGGCTGGTGCTGGAGAAGCGTGCTGCCTATGCCATGGATTGCCACAAGATCAGACGACTCTGTCTTGAAGTGCAGCCAGGGTGCTCCTTAGAGGCACGGAGGGTGAAACTTCACCTCATGTACTGTGTGTGTATTTCCAGAAGGAATCAGTCCTTGGAGACCGACATCAAGTTGGGAAAGGTAGAGGGTCAGAGAGAGAGCAGAAGACTCTCAATGAGATGGACGGACCCAGCGACCACCACAACGGTGGAAGCACACCGGAGACCTGAGGGTGGCAGGACAGGGAAGGTTCCCATGTGTCGTCACAGGACTGCGACACAGCAGCACGCATCCCAGGGCTGCTGGGGCAGGTGAGCCTCAGACATCTGGGATGTAACGTGAGCAAGCGTCCCGGCACGAGGCACCCTTGAGAGAGCTGCTCCAGATGACTCCCAATTGGAGGCTGAAAGGGAACCATCACTTCCAGCCGGATCTTGGTAAGATCTCCTCTCCTTTGACTCAATCCTCTTCTATTTGGGCACAGACATCCCATCAGGTCACAGATGAAAGGACTGCGCCCTGAGAATACAAGCGTCAATTCCGGGCTCCCAAGGGAAGGATTTGGTAGTCAATGTCCAGCCTCCCTGGGAGACTGGTGGGTTCGGGTGGGGAGAGCGTGCCCGCCCTGCTATGAATCACAACCGTATAGATCACTGGAGAGGCGCTTATGAGATTCAGAGTTTCCATGGAGCTAAAAAGAAAAGGGGGGGGGGGGAAATGAGAAACATCTGTTGGCGCAGAGCACAGCTGTGTCCCCCCCCCCAAGTTTCACAGTCCTGAGACAATGTCACAGAGGGTGGGGTGCCTCCCACACCTGTTGCCTTCTGTGCTCTCGTGACCGTCCCTGCGAGTCTCTGGGACCCTGGGAAGGGGACAAGGGGCATGATGACAGCAGGCTCCTTCCAAACAGGAAAAGGCATCGGAACTCCCAAGCCCTCATTTCTTCCATCCCCGTGAGAGCCAAGCCTCTCGCTGCACGAGGCTGCGCTGTTTCCTTGTGGAGAAGGCAGGAAGCGTGAGGCTTGGAAAAATCTATTGTCAGATGACCCACAATGCACTCAGACGGCCAGGGGACCCGCGGCCAGGTTTGCAGGTTCAAGGGCTTGCTAATAATTCCTTAGAGTCCAAGTAACAGAAATTCCACAAGGGTGGGCTGCTTGGTGCAGAGTGTTTACTGGGCGTTAGTTACCAGGGGCGACGTCCACACTGAGAGAGGAGCAGAGTCTGTGGGAGAGCTCGTCTCCGAAACCTCGCCGGGGCTGGGAGACGTCTGATATGCCTTTCCACCCTCCTTGAGGCAGACGGAAATGATTATGGCTTTTTTTGTTTATATCAACATAGGAAGGACATTGGCAAATTTTGCACATGAATCCAAGCTGAAGACATTTCCTCTCCAGACGCCTGGCCAGCGCTGCAGAGATGACCTTAGACTCAGCAGGCACGTTGGACTTTCTCTCTTGCTGTCCTCATCTGCGTGCTTGCTGGCTTTGTTTGTTGGGTTTTGTTTTTCCAAGCATGTGAGTGACTCTGTGATAGATCCTGACAGCCAGTGCTCACGGCACGCCATCCTCAGAAAGCAGGCTCTTCCGTTCACCGGGCTGAGGTGGGCAGCTCCTGGGCACCAAGGATGGGTAAGGTGGTCAGTCCTTCGCCAGGCACCCCTGCGGTGCCTTCCACCACTAGGGGCCGCCCTGGAGAAGTGATTGAGCACCAGCTGCTCTTCCCTTCCCATGTGGCCTCAGGGGCGGCCAATCCTTTCTGACCCACCACCCCAGGTTGGGTCTGGCTGGTCCAAAGCAGAGGGGTCAGGGGAGCCTGCCAGGGCCTTCAGGGAGGACTTCCGGTTTTGCTGGAAACTGATCATTGTGTTGTTGTATGCTGTCGAGTCAGACTGACCCACAACTGACCCTCCAGCAGGTTTTCAGAAAGTGATTGTCTACCTTTCTTCTGCTAAACAGCTGGTGGATTCGAACCACATGCCTTTGGGATTACAGCACAGCTTCTTACCATTAGGCCACCTGGAACAAAGCTATCAGAGCTAGCTGGAGCAAAGAAAGGACTCACAGAAGCCCTGCTGGTAGAGTTGTTGTTAAGTGCCGTCAAGTTGTAGACGGCTCATAGCGACCCTGTGAACGAAAGACCTAAACACTTGTATAACTTGCATCGTTTCTCCAAGTTCATGGTGTTTCCGGAGGCAAGCTGTTTCAGGCTAAGTAATTAATGGGCTGCTACCCAAAAGGTCAGTGGTTTGCAGCCCCGAGCCAATCCCTGGGGAGACAGAGGCAGCAGTCTCCTCTCGTTAACATTACGGCCTTGGAAATGTTCTGGGGCAGCTGTACTCTGTTCTACGGGGTCCCTGTGAGCGGACAAGCAGTGAACAGAGAGACACAACCAATAACAGTAGCATTACAACCTCCAGCTTCCAACACGGAGTCAAGAATGCAGCGGCAGAAACAGTGGCTTCTGGAACATGGCCCAGCACCTCCCTGCTCTCCTCTCTGTCCTGGTTGTTGTCCTCACTCCTGGTCACCAAGCTGTGACGGTCAGAGCAGAAGGGGCAGAGATGCAGGGGCCCGTGGTGGCTCAGCTACCAGAGACTTGAGGGAACGACAGTGAGCAGGCTACCCAATGTGGGCACTTTTAACCTGGCATTGCTCTACCCCTCACCAGCCAGGGCCGACGGAAGTGGTCGGAGGGGGCATCGCTTTGCTTCATCGCTTCAACTTTCAACTCTCAGTTACCTCACTTGCAAAACAAAGAAGACCTCAGCTGTCGAAATGCATTTGCATGTTATTTTGAGCTGAATGTCTAGCAGTTACTAAAATGTCTTAGAACTGCAACTGCTTCAAGCCACAATGGGATCCTTCTTAGTTCTGAAGTCAGACACAATGAAACTGTGTTTCTCTTTAAAAGTGCCCATACCCCCAGCTTCCTCAGGGGATGCAAATAATGAAAAGCCCTCATATCTGACCAAAAGGTTGGGGGTTTGAATTTACCCAGAGGCACCTCTGAAGAAAGGCCTAGGGTTCTACTTGCAAGAGTCAGTCACCAAAAACCCTGAGGAGAATCGCTCTTCGGTTACAGACATCCGGCCACTGTGAGGCAGAGTGACCTAGCCACAAATGAACAGTATTCTCTCTCTCTCTCTCTCTCTGTGTGTGTGTGTGTGTGTCTGAAAGGTCACCAGTTCAAGTCCTCTAACCGGTCCATGAGGGAAAGATGGTGGCAGTCTCCTTCTGAGAAAACTGATAGTTGTGTAGTCACCATGAGCCAGACTTGATTTGATGACAGTGAGTCTATTGTTTTTATTTTGTTTTTCATTAACTGACATAGACACACACATATATATACATTTATTTCTTTTTCTGTGTTGTTGCTTTGTGCCATCAAGTCAGAATTGCTCTGTAGCTGACCCTTCAGAGGCTGTAAATGGCATTGGAGGAAACTGCCCATCTTACTCCCACGGTGCGGCTGGTGGATTCGAACCACGTGCCTTTGAGTTGGCAGTGTGAGTCCTTACTACTAGGCCATGACAGCTCCTTAATATTTTTATATATATGAACACATGCGTGGGTACATACATATGTATGTGTTTTATTGTTGTGTACCATCAGGTTGGAACCGACCCGTAACAGACCCTCCGG